TCCCTGGGCTCTTCAGCTCAAGGCAAGCGCGCTACAGCTTGAGGCACAGAGTCACTTCCGGTTTTCTAGTGGTTTTTATTGGAGATAACAGTCTCATGGATGTTCCTGCCCGGGCTGGCTTTGATCTGAGATCCTCAGATCTCAGCCTCCTGAGTAGCTAGAATTACAGGCGTCAGCCACCGGCACACAGCTTTCACGTGGTTTTTGAGTACTACTTGTTCCTCATAAAGAAGGAATAAATAACCACTTATGGGAAACACCATCAACTTCTAATGGGCCTAGACAGAATAAGATAACTTTTGTCTCCTCCAAGTCTGGGTTTGCAGCTTGCTGAGAAATCATCATTTTATATTTGTGAGTTTAGAAAAAAACTTGAGGGGGGAAAAAAGCAAAAATGACTTATTCTGTGTCTCTGACTGTGATCCCCAAGCAGAGGACAGCTTGAAACTGTGACAATCAAAACAGATCTAGGAAATGGGAAAATCTAGATAAAGAGACTTGGCTAGTTGTTCACTTTCTCAACTCAGTCTTCCTGTCACTATAATTAGACCCTAATTACACTAAGACAATAACTGAGCCAAACAATTGTAATAGTTGTGGAGGGAGAAGGAAAGTTTTACTTTAGGGATTAAGATTCTGCAGGGCTTCCTTCCTCTGACAAGCTGAAAACTGACTAGTGTGAAAATGGAAGCCTTCATGGTACTTAAAAACAACCAACAGCTCTACAAATCCAGAATTACCACTAACACCTGGAAGCTTCTTCTTGCCAGAAGCACCAACCCAGGGTTTGTCAGTACCACAGATACCAATGTGAGTACAGCTGATAATGTTTTACTTATATGTAAATTAAGATACATTTATGTGTGTGTGTGTGTGTGTCCTTTGTAAGATGTATTTACAAGGATAATCTTAATTTCTCTTTTAGTATGTAAATTAATGAAAGAGTCTATAAACCGTAAGGACTCCCCTCTTCTAATAGCTCGGTATGTATAATTGAAGTATGAGTGGGATGCTTTTAGCAGATGTTATTGCAGAAATGCTTGAGCCTTTTTGTTCCTATGTTCAAGGTGAGCCTTTGTGTAAGATTTTTACTGTGTTCTTTAAAAAGTTAGAATGATAGAAGAGCTTTGTGTTTGTTTTTAGATTCCAATTTCATCATCATTATGCTTGTCATAATTATTAGCTTTCATAAAACATGCTTACTTCACTTTTGTTACATTTCTGTACTTCAAAATAGACCATCAAGGGCTGGGAAGTTGGTTCAGTTGTAGAGTGCTTGCCTCACATACATGAGGCCTGGGTTCGATTCCTCAGCACCACATAAGCAGAAAAAGCCAGAAATGGTGCTGTGTCTCAAGTGGTAGGGTGCTAGCCTTGAGCTAAAGAGCTGAGAAATAGCACCCAGGCCCAGAGTTCAGGCCCCACAACCATAAAAAAAAAGAACATCATTTTGCTTTTATGCTGCCTATTTCCTATAAATCTGTATTTAATATGAATATATTCTTTCTACATATGTTATATATTTAAGATTATGTTTTGCTTCCTTAAATACATTGAGGCAATCTTTATTATCTGTATATTTCGAGAAGGAAACAGAGTTAAAGGCATTAACTCACATTCCAACAGTCATATAGCTACCTGGAGCAAAACCCAGATAAACACCTATATTCACAGTTCATGCTGCCAGGGATCTTTTTTGTTGTTGTTGTTTTTTGTTTTTTGGTCCGGTCGTCGGGCCTGAACTCTGGGCCTGGGCGCTGCCCCTCAGCTCTTCAGCTGAGGGTAGGCTAGCGCTCTACCACTTGAACCACAGCCCCACTTCCGGTTTTTTTTCTTTTTTGCTTATGTGGTGCTGAGGAATCGAAGCCAGGGCCTCGTGCATGCAAGGCAAGCACTCTACCACTGAGCCACCTTCCCAGCCCTGCCAGGGATCTTTTGAACAGGGAAATGTAAATAAAACCTTTGATGTTTAATGAAGAAAGAGAGAGAGAAGTCTTGATAATTGCCTCCCAAGTATATTAAATATACACAAATCATGAGCCTTGAGCCAATCATTCTGGCTTCCTTTACCTGGATATACTGTCCATAGTTTGAAATAATATGAGGTAGAGATTTTTTGGGGTGGGGGTACCATCATGGGGCCTGAACTCTAGGCCTGGGCACTGTTCCTCAGCTCCTCAGCTCTTCAGCTCAAGGCTAGCACTCTACCACTTGAGCCACGACTTTTTTTTTTGCTTATGTAGTGTTGGGGAATCGAACCCAGGGCCTCATGCATGCAAGGCAAGCACTCTACCACTGAGCCACCTTCCCAGCCCCATGAGGCTGGAGATTTTCGATGTGAAGAAAAAGTATCCGGGCTGGGAATGTGGCTTACTGGTACAGTGCTTGCCTAGCATGCATGAAGCCCTGGGTTCCATTCCTCATTACCACATAAACAAAAAAAGCCAGAAGTAGCACTATGGGCTCAAGTGGTAGAGTGCTAGCCTTGAGCAAAAAAGAAGCTCAGGGACAGAGTGCCAGGCCCTGAGTTCAAGCCCCATGACTGGCAGCAAAAAAAAAAAAGAAGAAAGAAAAGAAAGAAAAAGTATCCTATCCAGGCCTAAAGTCTGAATGTCAGAAACTTAGAGTTAACAATCACAATAGAACTAATACTAATTATGTTACAAAAAAAAAAGCAAAACCCACAGGTAAAATAGTCTGTTAATTAAACAGAAATTATTGTTTTCCACAAGGTCATATAGCAGTGGTCAAATGCCATCATGATTCCTGTTTGTATGACCTCAGTTCACAGTAATGATGCCCAATTTACTTTCCTACAAGAGACTATTGTAGATTATTAAATTCCTTTTTTCTCATGACAGCTGATACCAAATCCTCTTCCTCTAATCCATTTTGATAATTATCAACACATACAAACTGATGAAAGTTATTTTAGTTATCTGAGGTCACTGAAAGGAACTTAAACATCTTGAAACACTTTTAGGTTTCTAAGGTTCCAGAAGTGGCACTGTTGCTCAAGTGGCAGAGTGCTGGCCTTGAGCTGAAGACCTCAGGCCCAGAGTTCAAGCCCCACAACTGACAGAAAGAAAAAGAAAAAGAAACCAGGGAAACCAGGGAAGTGTGGAGCCTTCTTTTTATTTTATTTTATTTTTTTTGTCGGACATGGGGCCTGAACTCTGGGCCCTGGGCACTGTCCCTTAACTCTTCAGCTTAAGGCTAGTACTTGAGCCATAGTGCCACTTTTGGCTTTTTCTGCTTATGTGGTGCTGAGGAATCAAACCCAAGGTCTCATGCATGTAAGGCAAGCACTCTACCACTGAGCCACCTTCCCAGCCCAGTGTGGAGTCTTCTGATAGGCCTTCTGATGCCAAATAAGATTCTAAGGTTCCTGAAGAGCACTTCCTTGGCTGCAGCCAGTTAACCATATAAACTTTTCAGACAAAGCACTTGATCCTGGATGTCTTTGATTCATTATGTTTAAAGTTTAACTTGACATTAAAAAAATAAAAATAAAACAACATCACTGAACATTTGCAATTGGACTTTGTGTCCAATTAACTTACCAAAAAAAAAGTGAGAAATGGCACTTTGGTTCAAAGTGGTAGAGCACTAGCTTGAAGCAAAAGGTTCAAGGACAGTGTCCAGGTCCTTAGTTCAAGCCCTAGGAGTCAGCTCATCTCATTAAAAAAATAAAATAAAATAATTTAAAAAAAACCTGATACCAGGATCATAGTTTGAAGCCAGCCTGAACAGGAAAGTCTATGAGACTTGTATCCCTAGTTAACCACCAAAAAGCTTTTGGGAGTGGAACCGTGGCTCAAGTGCTAGAGTGCTAGCCTTCAGCACAAAAGCTCAGGGACAGTGTGTAGGCCCTGAGTTCAAGCCCCAAGACCAACGCACACACACGCGCACGCACACACACACATCTCTGATAATATTAATATATCAGCCTCAAAAACATAAAAGCTGAATCCTAGAGTCTCATATTCATCAAAATGACATAAAGAACTGGAAGCTGGTGGCTCATGCCTGTAATCCAAGTTACTCAAGAGGTTGAGATCTAGGGATTAGGATTCCAGCCCTGGAAGAGCAAGTCCAGATATTCTTATTTCCAAATATTGGCAAAGGACCTGAACCTGTAGTTAAAGTAATAGAGTGCCAGCCTTAAATAAGAAGCTAAGAAAGAAAACCCTGGTCCTAACTTCAATACTGGCATTTAAAAAAAAAGAAAGTAGAGATAGGGCTGGGAATGTGTCTTAGTGTTAGAGTGTTTGCCTAGCATGCATGAAGCCCTGGATTCAATTCCTCAACACCACATAAACAGAAAAAAGCCAGAAATGGTGCTGTGGCTCAAGTAGTTGAGTGCTAGCCTTAAGCAAAAGAATCTCAGAGACAGTGCTCAGGCCCAGGGTTTAAGCCCCAGGATTGGTTTTTTTAAGTGAGATAGAGTGGAATATTGAGCAAAATAAAGTTGTGCAAATTAAAACATATATAAATTTGAAATGTGGAAGAAGTTTTAGCAACAGGATTATATATGTTTATCCAAGTTATATATGGAGAAAAAACTAGGTTAAGCATGGAATGTACACTTGGGGAATTTGGTGATATGAACATGACACAATAAAAATTTTTTAAATGAAGAAATTATGATGGAAAATAATTGGGGTTCAATACAGCCATGTTGAGATTGAACTTAGATGAGATACATAATGCATAATGATGTGAACACTAGATTGGTTTTACTAATCTGAGGGAAGAATTTTAATTTTTGCCAAGTAGGCATCAAGAAACTGTAAAAAGTACAAAAAATGCCACAGGAAAAGAAACAAGCTCTATGTACTCTGCACACACACACACACACACAAACACACACACACACACATCATGAATGCTGAAAGCATATTATGAAAGTGTTATAGTGTAAAATACTTTGAAGATATGAAAATGATCATTTCTGATGAATTCTTTTAAAAGGATTGGATCTGCCTATGAAGTAATAAATGGTTTTGAAGCCACTTAAGGCACTGCCTTTCATCCTTCTAACAGGACTTGGGATTATAGGAAACATCTCTGTATTTGTGAATTATATGTGCAGTTTATGGGGAGGAACTAAGAAGAAATCTATACAATTGATTCTCATCCATGTGGTTCTCACAAATATCATAATACTTCTTTCCAAAGGATTGCCAAGGACAATAGCAGCTTTGGGGTTGAGATATTTTCTAGATGCTATGGACTGTAGAATTATCGTTAACCTGGAGAGGGTGTCTCCGGGTCTGTCCATCTGCACCAGCAGTCTCCTCACACTGGTCCAGGCCAGCACCATCAGCCCCAGAGGTTCTGTGTGGAGGAGGCTCAAGCCAAGGTCTGCATGGCACATCCTTCTCTTGTTGCTCTTCTTTTGGATACTCAATTCTTTCATCAGCATGAACTTGTTAAATTCCATTGGAAATACCAGCTTAGTCAAATCTCAATTTGGTGGTAGTGAGTTCTATTGTTATACTATGCTAGGAAGTCAGAAAATCAACAGCATTTTCCTCACTTTCATGGCTATGAGAGATGCTGTGTCCCAGAGTACTATGGGTGGGGCCAGTGTCTACATGATATTTCTTCTCTACAAGCATCACCAGTGTGTTCTATACCTTCAAAACTCCCACTTTGTCTACAAAACTCCTCCTGAAATAAAAGCTGTTCAAAGTGTTCTTCTTCTGATGCTTTCTTTTATTTTATTTTATTTGATAGATTTAGTGATTTCTTTATATTTAACTATCTCCTTCGAACATATTTCCATACTAATAAATGTTCAAGAATTTCTGACCCTTGGTTATGCAATTTTCAGTCCATTTGTTCTGATTCACAGAGATGGACATCTGGCTGAATGGTGCCAAGTTCAGTGCAGAGATTTTAAACACAAAATATCTGAGTTTCATTCATCATTTAGCTAGTCTGTAAAAAACCTTTCCATTGTGTTAGTCTGTCTGAGAAATAAAACCAAACCAAACAGGTTAACATATAATCTTTTATTTTCTCAGGCGGCAATCTTTTTGACCAGCTTGTCTGAGCTGATTCAGAGCTTATATAGGTATCTAGAGTGAAATAGAAATCTTATTCTCTGCAATTTTCATGAAGTGGCTTTACTGTTAGTATTTCTGAGCCTAGTCTTTTATGGCCACTGTTCCAGTAATAGGAAAGAAGAAAACAAATTGACAAGTTTTGTCCAAATTACTCATGCATCACCTTAAAACACTTTTCCCCAGAAATCAACTTTCTGCGAGCCAGAAGAGACTGTGGACCAGATTATAAGAAGGAGCGATTTTTATTTTTAGTCTTTGTGACAGGAGATAATGTAATTTGATAAAGTGAAATATATTTCTAGGTTAAGATTATATTTTATTGTGGTTCTGCCAATTGTGGGGCTTGAAATCGGGGTCTGAAGGCTGTCTCTGAGGAGGGGGTAACAATGCTTCATAGGAAATGGACTCATTACCTTGCTCATGTACTTGTAACCTCTCTGTATCTTTACAATAAAAAATATATATTTAATTTTTTTAAAGAGTCTCAGATTTCTTGCCCAGGCCAGTTTTGAACTGAGAGCCACAGCTCTCAGCCTCCCTGAGTAGCTAGGATTACAAGCATGAGCCATCAACACCTGGCATAGATTAAGATTCCTTTTTATTGCACCTACAATAGTGCTATACACAGAATGAGTTATTGGGGTTTGTTTATTGTTTTTTACTGTAAACTGGTAAATAGTGTGTTTAGATTGAAACAATTAGTTTAAATTTGTTTCTGACATTTGATGAAAACATGTGGAGAGAAAGACATTTGATGAATTAAAGCCTTTTTATATTATGGAAATACTGGAGATAAATGCAAGACCAATGGAATTCAAACTGGAGTGTAATATGTTTAATTTGATGTTAAATAAATGAGGAAACTCTGAGAAATAGAAAAAACTGTACTTTTTGTATAAAAATATAAATGAACACACAGTAGAAAAAGTTTTAGGGTTGGTAAGGTGGCTCAGTCTAGAGTGCTTGCCTTGCATGCATGAGACCCTGGATTTGATTCCTCAACAACACATAAGCAGAAAAATCCAGAAGTGGTGCTGTGGCTCAAATGTTAGAGTGTTCAACTTGAGCTGAAGAGCGGAGGGACAGCTCCCAGTCCCAGAGTTCAGGCCTACTACCGACAAAAAAAGTTTGTTTTATTATTGCATATTATATAAGCTGTTAAAAATGTGAATTTTTTTAAAAAAGAATAAATTATGTTTGTAAATCATTTGTGGCTTCTTTCTGGATATCACTTATTAGTGTCTCGGTGTTCTCAGCGATACAATGCTGTCAATCTTTTTTATATCATAAAAGACTCTGTGAGGCTGAGTGCCAGTGGCTCATGCCTGTAGTCCTAGAATACTTAGGAAGACTGAGATCTGAGGATCACATTCAAAATCAGCCAGAGCAGGTAAGCCTGTGAGACTCTTATCTCCAATAGACCATCAGAAAACAAAAAGTGGCACTGTGTAGAGTGGTAGCCCTGAGCAAAAGAGCTCAGGGACAGAGTCTCGACCCTGAGCTCAGACTCCATGTCTAACAAAAGAGAGAGAGAGAGAGTCTATGAAAATTAATATGATTATTTCTTAATTTAAATGAGAAATTCAATCCTTGAGTTCTTATGATAAAACACTTGGGTTGAATATGTAGTTTTAGCAATTAAATATCAGTTGAGAACATTTTGAAAAGCTATTTATGATATGTCACTTGTTATAAGAGGCTAAGAACACAAAATCTTTGCCTTGATACAAATAGGTTTACACTATATTCTTCAAAGAATTCTTCTACCAGATTTCATTATTATGCCTGAATATTTGGACTTAAACAATTCTACTTAACAAGGATGAATGATTACTACATTCTGTTTGTGCTTTATATACATAACTTTTACATATGCCATTCAAGTTCTCTACCATTTAATCCTTCCCTGCTTTTTGATTATATATTTTTTCCATTTTTTGAGGTAAGTTTTCACAATTTCATTCTGTCCTGGCCTTGAACTCACAGTTCAGTGGAATCTGTGTAGAGGGGGGAAAATAATATTAGTACCCTGAGATGAAAACAAGTCATGAGAATGAGAACCGCTCTATTTTGGTGGGCTGCCATTGGGTGCAAACCTTAAGCTCTGAAGGTAGAGAGAACTGATCGCGATGTTTATACAGATGGAAAAGCAAGAACCCGCTGCCACAGGCCAGAAAACTGAAAGGTGACACACCGAACGACCCAACCAATTATTTATTTACCTAGGGTAATATAAAACCACACTCAAGAAGTAGGGAAAAATTTCATTATGGTTGCTTGTAAATTATATATGTTCAGCTATGGTTACCATACCAAGAATGATATTGTACCATTTGAAACAAATTGAAAGACTTGGAAAAATTATAGTAAGCAAAGTAAGCCAGACCAATGAAACATAGGTTGCAAGGTTTCCCTCATTTTCTGTAACTACAATGAGCCTATAGATCTACAAGTAAACTTGCTGGATGGTAAAAGACAAAAAACTACACATGGAAATCATAAAGTATACTGGACATCCTAAATTATAGACATTCACACCAAAGGAGGATATGCTTAGGAGAGGATCACAAGCACTCAACAGCTATGTACATATAAAATTATATTTATCTAAATGAACTCTAAGAAATGGAAACAAGAGGTTTTTTGTTATTGTGTGTTTTTTCTCCTTTGTCATTGTTTTTGTTTTCTGTACCTTTTGTCTTTCATGTAAGGTTATCTGTTTCAGGTAGAGTAAGAGGGAGAGGCAGCACAGGAATGGTGGGGGAAAGTGTGAATAAATGCAGTAGTGATACTCACTAGACACTATGCTAAAATGAATTATACAATTTGGCTGGAGGGGGAGGTCAGGAGGAAAAGAACAAAAGCAAGGGAAAAGAAATGTACTCATTACCTGATTTATGTAACTATAACCCCTCTGTACACCATCTATAGAATAACACTTTTAAAAAACAAAGATTAAAAAATGATATGAGAAAGGAGCCATGAATTGTGTTTAAAATTAATTTTATTTACAGAATTTATTTAAATCCATAACACATCAGAATATATAAAGACAAATGCTTCCAATAAACAGGTACTTTGGAAGGCAGCAACTATTCACCAAATTTTTAAATAATCTTTCAGTTTCATAATGTACAGAACATCCAAATAAATATATTATTACATTCTGCTTTAAATACTATTAGTCTTCATTCTCTTTTAAATTTTGCTTTTTAAAGAGTATTAGTAAAACTGCTTTGGTGAATGACAACTCCTTTGTACAACTATTTAAAGATAATGTAAATATTCTATATATATAAATAAGTAACAATAAAAAGAATAAGTAAATAATATATGATTAACTAACATGAATAATATTTACTATAAATAACATAATACTTTATACATTAATTATAACTAATATGTATTAGTTATATTCTTTGTGGATTCATTACATATCAAAACTTTGAACTTGCTCATTCTCTCACAAATTCAAGCAAAAAGTCTGAATGGAGGAGATAAGGAAGTACTTTCCTTGAGGATTATGTTTGTAAATAAGGCTCTGTGGTCTTGGGAAAAACAAACCAGTTGTCAAATTAATGAGTGCATTATATAGTTTTACTTTGGAAAGCAATATGAAGGTTCCTCAAAAGACTAAACATAGAACTCCCCTAAGACCCAGCAATCCCACTTCTTGGCATTCATTCTTTTTTTTTTTTTTTTTATTTTGGGTCCGGTCGTGGGGCCTGAACTCTGGGCCTGGGCGCTGTCCCTCAGCTCTTCAGCTCAAGGCTAGCGTTCTACCACTTGAGCCACAGCGCCACTTCCGGATTTTTTCTTTTTGCTTATGTGGTGCTGAGGAATCAAACCCAGGGCCTCAGGCATGCAAGGCAAGCGCTCTACCACTGAGCCACCTTTTCAGCCCCACTCCTGGGCATTCAATCAAAGGACCACAAACAAGGCCACACTAAAGTTACCAGCACAACTATGTTCATTGAAGCATTATTTACCATAGCTAAGATATGAAAATCAACCCGGATGGCCCTCAGTAGATAAATGGATTAAAAAATGTGAGATACACACACACACACACACACACACACACAAATGGAATTCTATGCTTCTATCAGAAAACATTCATAAGGAAATGGAAAGTTAGAAAAAATCATATTAATTGAAGTAAGCCAGACCCAAAGAAACAGGCTCCATGGTTTCTCTCATTTGTAGAAATTAGTATACACCTAGCATAGGCCTAACAGAGGATCACAATAGGACATAGCTATTTATACGATCACATAAAATGATACTAATCAAAACGAGCTCCAAGATATAGAAACAAGAGGGCTTTTTGTTGTTTTTTTTCTTGTTGTTGTTTTAGTATACTGTTGGCAGTTATTTCTTTTTTTCTTTCATTTTCCTTTCTTGTTTATTCCTTGTGGTCCCTTTTTTATTTTGGTAACCTTTGTTTTTCATATAAATTTATCTGATCTGGGAAGAGGAGGGGAATCACAGAAATAGTGGGACAATGGGTGAACCAATGCAATAGAGGTACTCACTAGATACTATGTTGGAAATACACTTTACAACTTGGAGGAAGGGGGAAGGAAAGAAAGCGGGGGGAGGTTTGAATGAGGGAAGGGATAACACTGTCCAAAAGAAATATATTCATTATCTTACTTACATGACTGTAACCTCTCTGTTTACCTTTACAATTAAAAATAAGTAAATAATAAAATAAAAAATAAGTAAATGAATAAATATACATGAACACATGTAAGTACACCTCAAAATATGTGCATGTGTGTACATGTGCTGCACATGTGCATGTGTATTTTTGCATAGAAATATATTTTAGTGGAAAAACAAAGTAGGAGGCAACAATGCTTGATAAG